TTCAGTAACCACCTTCTTTTCCTAATCATTCCTGATGGCACATTCTAAAACAAATTAAAAAGCACTGACGATAAAGCATCTCCTTATTTTAAACCATTCTAGATAGGAAAACTAAAGCTTATTTTCTGTAAGAGGCATGAAAAGTACCTGTTACAGACAATAAGTATGGTGGCTGCATCACGTGGCTGCAAAGAGTATACAACTTTGGCTTTGTACGGTCGTAGTTGCAGATAATTTGCAACGAGTTTTGCTGTCCCCTTCCGTACCGTCTTCTGTTGTGCAAGGCGCTGCAGGAACTTACGAGGCTAATGTTCTAACCGAACTCCAGTATTGTCCAACTATTCTTTTTAACACTCCATGTTGTTGTTCTGGTTTCCTGTCTGTCAACAAGTCAGCTGTTCCTTTATTTAAGAAATTCTGAATAGCTGCTCTGTGGGGAACTTGAACTCCAGGGAACTTTCTACTGAATTTACTATGACTTTCTAGCAGAGTGGATTCTCTGCTACAAAGGTATCCATGTCCAAGACGAAGGACAGCTAGCATGAGTCAACGTGAGCCATCATACCAGAATATCCAGGTCTCGTTTTCACTGTTACTGACACGTCAATACGATCACAAATGATGCGGTGATTGTGCATAACGAAAAAAACAACGTTGGCTCAGCGGTACATATACACATACACTGTATTCACTCACTCATGGAACTGAGCCCTTCTTGAGAAGCCGCCAATTGTGTAGGTACACAAGAACTTCCCAGCATTTTATGTAACCCGAAGGTTCGTTACCGTGTTCACAAGAGCTCTCCACTGGACCCCATCCTGAGCCAGATCAATCCAATCCATACCATCCCCTCCTATCTCTCTGAGATCCATTTTAATAGTCAACTCACCTACATCTTGGTCTTCCCAGTGTATACACTGTATTATTTAAATAAATTCATTTATTATATTTTATTTTATATTTACATAGAATGAATATAAATGAAAACATAAAATAACGAGCAGGCCTATCCGTCAGCATTTTTCATCTCAGACACTTCTCCACTGATTTTGAATTCACGTGTTTTGGGGGTACACATCGAATTTATATATCGAAATAAATATTGATACGTATCGATTTAATGGAGCCCCTAATTTACGCGAATTTTTAAATCAACCTTTTATCTTTCTCAAAATGGCTTATCTAGTGTACTACACAACATAAAGTTGTCGATATCGTCTGCAGCCCTAATTCAAAAGTATTGTTTACATTTAGCAGAACGTAATTAATATATCTAAAAACAATTTTTCAAACGTCGTTTAAATCCTTTGAAATCTTTCAGAGATTAAAACGTAACAGATATTATCCCAGACTGTTGACATTACAGCCTTACTTTGTTGAGGACAATATCTTGCAATGAGTAAGCGTAACTGCTGTCACATTCCAGAATCCAACTACAGCGCCTAACGTAATATTACGGAACCAGTTCTGAACATATTAAGCTGTTTGCTTCTGGTAGATGGTCAATGTCCTCTAATATTAAGATGAAGGGCACAGAACCAGTTGCAGTGTACAAGACTGCAAAGTTCGTGAATGGGTCTATCAGACCCGTGCATGTTTGTAACATTTGAGTCTGAATGTCAAGTTCATTGCATAATTGCCAGTACAGAGGCGGAACAAGAGCCCGCGAAGCGTTTGTGGCCAACTGCCACACCCGAATATACCAGTAAATTAGCTTCAGTCTGTTAGCTACTTATATCTTTAAGCAGTGGTTCGGCGTTCAGCTTTTCCCAGATGCATTTCTTTGTAGGACCGCCATACTGGTTGCTTTTGGATAGCGAACAGCAGTAATTGTCGTATATGCATTTTATAGGATCGGATAAGGTGATCAGTGGGTAGGAATTTGGAAGGAGGCAATATTCACCTGTTTGCAGCAACATCCCAATATGGAGAGCCTGAAGAATACTACAAAAAGCCTCGGTTATGTTGTTTCGTCACCCAGCCAAGTTTTCGAACCGAGAACCTCCTATCTGAGGTCTCTCGTCGTTTCCAGCAGTCTCATCCGAGACTGGGCAAATATATTTTATAGCCTAAATCCGATCACAATGGCCGCGCGAACTAAAGCATGAAATGTTTTCGTCACATAGAACGCTGGGATCTTGGGTTCGAATCCCACTGAAGGCATGAATATCTGTTTGCGTTTATTCTGTATATGTCTTAGGCAGCGGCCTTGAGATTGGCTGATCCCCCGCCCAAGGAGTCCTACTGACTAAGAATAAGAAATTGATGTGAAACGAAGACTTTCACGGATGCCCTTTGCTCCAAGTGGGAGCAACAGGAATAGAAGAACAAAAAGAATATTAGAGCCGGTAAAGCGTCATTCAATAAGCAACCACCATAAGAGAGAGTAACGCAGTAGGAGACCGTTTAACTAGGTCCGTCCTTGCTACTTCGTAATTGGGTTATTAATACCAATAGTTGAAAGATTTATAAGTGCACCAACAGAACTGAGGAACTCAATTACTGCACTGAACAAACTAATTATGTGAGCCGGGATAGTTCAGTCGGTATAGCCACTGGCTATGGGCTGGACGATGGAGAGGTCGGGGTCCGAGTGCCTGGTAAGGTCAAGAATTTTCTCCTCTCCACGTCATCCAGACCGGCTCTGGGGCCCACCCAGCCTCCTGTCCAGTGGGTACCGGTGGCTTTTTCCCCGGAGGTAAAGCAGCCGTGTCGTGAATATGACCGCTCACCTCCAACTAGTGCCGAGGTCAAATCTGGGTCAATACATCCACTCCCCCAAGCGCATTCATGGCGTAGTGCTTAATTAGTTAAGAAGAGGGACAACTTTACCTTACACAGTAATTATCGTAGCATGAGTTCAACGCCTGTCTCCTAGTTTGGCACAATTAGACTCCATCGTGGTATCTGCAGACTGCGACTTATGTTCTGTGTGCTCGTGCTATAAGCTGGATATAATGATATTATGCTCCGCGCTATAGCTCAAGCGGTTAGTCGCTGGCTTCCCACCGCGGCGGCACGGGCTCGATCCCAGGTCTGGTCAAGAGGGATTCTTGGTGGACAAAGTGGAGCTGGGGCAGGTTTTCTCCGAGTACTTCAGTTCCCCTGCCAATATTCATTCCACCAATTGCTCCACAATCACTCTCACCTATCATCTGGGGCTGGTACAATAGGCTAGAAGTGGCCACAGTACAAGGGACTTAATCCCACACCACTGGCAATAAAAAAATAATGATATTACAGGGGGTTTCGTTTTAACTCTCAAACACAACAAAAACACCAAATAACTCACTCGCACTTCACTTTGCATATCTAAGTTTATTTGGTTGTACAGCGTCTCTACGTGTTTCGGCTCATGGGGCCATCATCAGGCGAATACATAAACAAGCCTTATACTAACGAATTGAACTTTCTATATGGATCCATATAACGTGTTTTAGTTCTGTATTACGAATAAAGTGATAACACAGCGTACTGCTCTCACTTTTACTATTCACCATTATATGCGCAAATTAAGTGGTTCTATACTGAACCCAAACTTGTTTAAAATGTACGTAATAAACCAAGCATTTAAATTTATTCAAATCTTCAAATATCAACATTATGTCAAAAATTTTAATATTATTAAAATGTTAAAGTATTTCGCTTATAGAAATATCTTGTTTTGTTTCTTTTTAAATGCTAGTGGGGTGGGACTAAGTCCCTTGTACTGCGGCCACTTCTGGCCTATTCTACCAGCCATAGATGATAGGTGAGGGTGATTGTGGAGCAATTGGTGGAATGAATATTGGCAGGGGAAACCGAAGTACTCGGAGAAGGTCCCACTTGACCAGACCCGGGATCCAACCCGGTCCGCAGCGGTGGGAAGCCAGCGACTAACCGCTTGATCTATGGCACGGCCCTAGGAACATCTTACTATGAATATTTTCTCATCTTTAGCTTAAATAAGTTCATGTTTGACTTATTTTTCGTGCCTATATTTCTCTTTTTGGCTATTATATTCATTCGAAAATTTTGTGTACACCATGCAACTGTCTTGGCTTACGTTGTTTCTATTACTGATATTTGGTATTAGGTCGAAGTTGGGTTTGTTGAGCTGATAATTATATGGGTTACCTCTTTTTCTTCCACGAACTTATTTCTGTCCTATATTGTTTAGTTATACATGTCATTCATGGAGCTGAGCCTTTCTTGAGAAGCCGCAAATTCTGCAGCTACTCAAGAATTTCCCAGCATTTTATGGGATCCGAAAGTTCATTGCCGTCTTCGCAAGAGTCCTCCACTGGTCCCTATCCTAAGCCAGATTAATCGAATCTATACCATTCTATTCCATCCTATCTTATCCCTCTAATAAAATCCATTTTAATATTGTCCACCCACCTACTTTTTGTTTTTCTCAGTGGTCTCTTTCCTTCTGGCATTCCTCTTCTCCCCTTTCATGCTACATGTTCTACTCATTTCATCCTCCTTGACTTGATCATTCTAATTATACTTGGAGAAGAGTACAAGTTATGAAGCTCTTCATTATGCAGTTTTCTCCAACCTCTTGTCACTTCATCTCTCTTCGGTCAAAATATTCTCCTCAATACCCTGTTCTCAAACACCCTCAGTCTATATTCTTCCCTTAATGTCAGAGACCAAGTTTCACACCCATACAGAACCACAGCCAATACTATAGTTCTGTATATTCAATTTTTTTGTTTTTAGACAGCAGACGAGAGGAAAGAAGGTTCTGGGCTTAATGGTAGCAAGCAGTAATAGAGTTCAATCTTCTATTAATTTCCTTCTGAATCAGTTTTGATTTATTATTGTCGTTCCCAAATATCTGAATTTGCCACCTTTTCAAATCATCTGCTACCCTTCTTTGTGTCATAATTTTCCCTGCATTCTCTTCATGAGAGAGCAATATATACTTCGTTTTCTTTGTGTTTTCTTCTAGAGATTGTTTATACATAGTTAGTTTTTGTTCTCTTTTATTATATGATGTAGTTTCTACTTACTCTGTTACTGGATATGTAGTCTTTATTCAAGACTACGCTGTTACGTCTGCTTTCGCCACTTGTCGAATCCCAACTATGTCTCTTGTATGATGTAAGTTAATACTTGCAGATTGGGGAAAGGGGGAGGGTGATGTTGATGGTGGGGCTGTGTAAAGGGTCGGTATGGGTTACTGACTTTCTTCTAGGTTATCATTTTTTTTATTGCTAGTGGGGTGGGACTAAGTCCCTTATTCTGCAGCCACTTCTGGCCTATTGTACCAGCCCCTGATGATAGGTGAGGGTGATTGTGGAGCAATTGGTGGAATGAAGATTGGCAAGGGAAACCGAAGTAATCGGAGAAAACCTGCCCCAGCGTCACTTTGTCCACCACATACCCCACTTGAGAAGACCCGGGATCGAACCCTGTCCGCCGCGGTGGGAAGTCAGCGACTAACCGCTTGAGCTATGGCGCGGCCTTAACCTAGAAGAAGGGCCGCGCCATAGCTCAAGCGGTTAGTCGCTGACTTCCCACCGCGGCGGACAGGGTTCGATCCCGGGTCTTCTCAAGTGGGGTATGTGGTGGACAAAGTGGTGCTGGGGCAGGTTTTCTCCGAGTACTTCGGTTTCCCCTGCCAATTTTCATTAATCAAATGGATGAGAACTGCCGCTGGGCAGTTACCGCCCTCAAGACATAAGAAGATATATCACATTGACTTGTTACTTCCTTTACGGTTAAGTAGACTGTAAATTGGCAAAAATAATAATAATAATAATAAAATCATTCCACCAAATTCTCCATCATCATAATCACCCGGGGCAGGTACAATAGGCCAATCAGTGGCCGCCGTGCTGAGTGGACCCAGTTGGACTCCACCCCCCCACTAAGCAAATTAAAAAAAAAAATTAAATTCTTCTAGGTTTGTTTTATGGTTAGTATCTTCTCATCTGTAGGATTATATGTCTCAGTAAAAGCGTCATTTAAGTGTATGATTTGTTTAGTGATTCCATATATGTGGAATCTCTCATATGTATTTAACTTTTAGCTTTCCTTTTCAATATGTAGGATTTTCATTTTTTTTTTCTTGTCGTGTAGTATTCGTGTCCTGTTTCGACTATATGTTGGGTAAACTTATTGTCCGTTGTTTTTTTATGTCTCTTGTGTGCTCTTTAGGCCGGTCACGGTAGCCGAGCAGTCTAAGGCATGCACTGTCTTCGCTCGCTCGGAAGCCGGGATCGTGGGTTCGAATCCCACTCAGGGGATGGATGTCTGTGTGCGTTTTTCTGTGTTTGTCTACAGGTAGAGGCCTTGCGACGAGCTGATCACTCCCGCCCAAGGAGTCACCGTATGTGTAAGATCTAGAAAAACCAAGTGAACGGAGTTCATGGATGTAGGCCTAGGCCCACTGGGGCTGTAGTGCCAAGGGAAAAAAAAAAGTTCTTTATATCTTGTTTTCAACGTTCGCTCTGTTCGCCCTACGTAACTACTTACACAAGAATATTTGGAACATTGCAGCCGGTGCACTCCACTCAAATTATATTTGTCGATGGTCATTTTTCTTCAGCCTCAAGTAAAACGAAAACACACATATATACAGTACTTAACACAGAACAGGATGCATTCCTTAAAAATAATGATATTAATTGCAGACTGAATGTACATGGCAACGAATCCGATAACGACAGTCAGCCATTTTGAATCCGCTGTAGAATTCGCTTCGATACACCATGTTGCAGGTGCACATGTTCACACACACTGACACACTGATCTGATACCTTATTCGTGACTGGAGTAGCGAACACATATATATAGCACTACTATCAGCTTTATTATTTGGGTGACGGTGTGGCTTAAGCGGCAAAGCAACTTATCATATCCTGACAACCAGGGGTCAAATATAAACTTTCCTGTTCTTTTTCATTCATTCGTTCATCAATGGCTCTACAGCCCTTTATTGGGCCCTGGCATCTTCTTCAGTTTCGTAATCATTCTTTACAGACGATAGGACTTCTCGAACAAGCGATCAGCCCGTCGCAAGGCCTCTACCTACACACAGGACAACACAAACACGGAATAAACGCACACAGACATCCATACCTTTAGTGGGATTCGAACTCAGGATCTCAGCGTTCAAGCGAGCGAAGATAGTTTATGTCTTAGACCGCGCAGCCACTGTGATGTGTTTCCTGCTCCTAATTACCCAACATATTCTGTCAAGCTGAAAAATATTAATTTCATCATTATGTATTTTTAGCTTAATTTCCTCATTTTTAAAAAATAAAAGTAGGCTTGCTCCCTGTGTGCCTCTCTATTCCTCCTCCCCATCAACTTTTGAATAAATCTTTATGAAATATTGTATGTATATCATGGCTCCTGAACCCATCTCAACGGCGACCTTCATAAATCCATCCCATCAGTCTGAGCGTCTGATTGTGTATCTATCCTATCGTTGAAGAAAGCAGTCTTCTGGGATTTGGCACCGTGTATATGTGGTGTTAACCGACGTTTCGGAGGAACGTATCGCCTCCATCTTCAGGGTAGAAGAAAAAATATAAGAATTCTGCAAGCGAAGAGACCGTGAGAACCGGTAAAAGCAGACTGTCTGCTTTTATTCTTATATTCTTATATTTTTTCTTCTACCCTGAAGATGGAGGCGATACGTTCCTCCGAAACGTCGGTTAACACCACATATACACCTTGCCAAATCCCAGAAGACTGCTTTCTTCATAGTCACCTCCGTGAGAGCCTCAAATCTTACATATCCTATCGTTACTAGGCAACAGCTCGATAAGAAGGTTACCATGTCAAAAAATAAACAAGCAAAAACAGACGAATTTTTGAGCGCGTCTTTTTCTGTGCTGTTCTTGTAGTATCGAAGGAAATTAGGCGACTAGTTCTTCCAAGAACTACTTGTTTTGATATTATTTTACTTCCTGCCTCTTAGATAAGCTATAAAGACTCTCCTCTGTACTTGCTTCTGAAACACCGCCAATCTATAGCGATAATACGAATGCATTAGTGAAATGCGAGCGGATATCTTTCTAAGACAAGTGGAACTCATTAGCGCTCAGCACGAAGTGGACGAACGTGATTCACTGGGTTGCATACATCTGCTGCACACACCTAATAATAATTAATACGATTTTTAAGAACTGCTCTTGTAACATGCCGTAACGTTCTCTCTCAAAGCAATATACATGCACTCTTTTCTGTCTACACCAACATGGGCCTTAACATAGACCGAGGTGAATTAAAATGGTGAGATGTTTCGATACATAGTCGCCATTATCAGATGATTAAAGGACATAAATGTGAAAATGTTGTGTCATTGGCTACTAAAGTGTAGACTTATATATAATATATACGACAATTTTTGTTTCAATACTTATGGGCCCCAGTTTGTACATATCGTCTTTGTAACGTTACTCTTCGTCACCAAGTCTGTGGCCACCCAGTGCGTGAGTGAAGTCTTTTTCATCGGTCCCAAAGCTACCAGGACTTGAAACTGACCACATATCTTTATCGTCAAAGCGTGTCAAAGGATTAACCCAAGTCTGGCCCTTTATTAACATGCCACTTTTTTTTTGTTTGCGATAAAGGGTTGTCAGGCCACTTCCACAATACTTGAAAGTGGAGAACCACCACTTATCGGCTATCCGCGACTGTATGTCCAATATACTTAAGTCACCTCCACATATGAAAGTGGCTTCTCTTGTCAGGAGCCCGAGGACGCGTCGCGCCATGGCGACAAACTGAATTCTTCCTTTCACACGATGGGCTTCTTCATGACGTAGTGTTAGGCAAAGAAAAGGATTTTATACAGGGGCTAAAAGAGACTGGAAGCCGTAGGCGAATGAGCAGCTGATAAATCTTCAGACAGCTCCGCAGTCGGGAACCAGGCCTCTTCTTACATGCGCATGTGTAGTCGTGCAAGTTGAACGTTTCTGCAGTCGCGATCAGAGAGGTGTCTGTAAAAGAGAAATTTGTGTCTCATGGGTCACTAAGGTGCAGGACGCCGTGAACTTGTCAGCTACAGCAGTTAAAGCACTCTCAGAGGCAGGAAACAGAATGTAGAGGGATGCATACAGGTCCAACTTCCATGTTACCATTCCTATATCACGCAGGAAGCTGTTCCTTAAAGCGCTACAAGAGTGAAAATAGATTGTTATATCTTCAATTACATTATAACTACGTGGAGCTGAGCCCTTCTTGAGAAACCTCCAGTTATGACGCTACTTAAGAATTTTCCGACATTTTGTGGAACCCGAAAGTTCATTACCGTGTTCATAAGAGCCCTCCACTGGTCCCTATCCTAAGCCAGACCGATCCAGTCCATGTCACCCCCTCCTGTCTCTCAAAGCTCTACTTAAAATTATCCATCCACGCCTTGATCTTCCTTCTGGGTTTTCCACCAATATTCTACATACATTCCTGCTCTCCTAATTCGTGCTACATGTCCTGCCCGTCTCTTCCTCCTTAACTTGATCATTCTAATTATACTTGGAGAAAAGTACACGTTATGAAGCTCCTCATTATGCGGTTTTCTCCTTTCGCTGATTAGGCAATTCTTCATTATTCCAAATAGAGACGAGTGTATGGATTTCAGACTGTAATGTTTCACTTCTTGCCTGAATCAGTTCTGCCGGAATTTTATCGCTAACTGACGATTTATACCTTTTCAAATTGGCAATAACAATTTCAGCCTCTGAAGGGCTGGGATCAGGCCCTAACTGCTCAGCTGTATGTAGGTCTGTCTGCCTAACATCAATGACTCTAAGTACATTCGATAACTGAGAGAAGTTCTTTCACCCATTCAAAATGTTGTAGGAATATGCAAGCAGATCACCATTCTCATCCTTCACTGAGTTACTTTTAGGTCGGTAACCCTTCTTAAAGTCATTTATTCCTCTATACAGGTCTCTAATTAATGTTGTCTTTCAGATATTTCTTCTTTTTATTCATCAAATGCCTGCTGACTTCACGTCTTTTATTGTTCAGATTTTCCCCATTTATTTCGCTTGTATCTTGTAACTACTGTATTTTAGCTTCTTTTCTTTGATCTGAATTACACTATACTACATTAAATTA